AGTATATAGCTTTGTTCATCCATCTGGTACTTTACGCTTTTGAATTAAGTAAATAATAATATAATATAATATATATATATATATATATATATACATACATTGTATATATATATATTTATATTTATATAATTTATCAACTACCTGGTAGTAGGTCCTACTATCAAAATTTAAGAATAATAATTATTATTGTGGTATGTCAATTTAGCAACATCTAGACAGAATCAAATAATTTTGGTATCAAAATTTGAGAATTGTTGTATGTCAATCATTTTAATAAAATTTAAATTTCTGCTTAAGCCATATCAATGCAGTAAATAATTTTGTAGTTAACGTTATTTTATTTTTGTTGTAAAAAGGACCTAATTTAATAACTACCTAGTGTAATTAATTAAATATGGTATCAAAAATAAAGAAATATTATAAAAATACGTCATAATTAATAAAACGGATATAAATTATTTATAAAATCGTTTGAAAATGGGAAAAATCTAAATTACTTAATTATTTTTAGGTTATATTTTATATAAATCAAATAAAATATTTCTTTCGGCAGGTTTTCTGTATACTAAATAATTTAAGTGTTATGTTCTTAGTTTTTTTACGGTACCATCATAGTGCGATTCCAATTGTTGCTTATTTTATAAGATGATACGTTTTTATTAACAAATTATTTTTTTTCATGAAAAAAATTTTTTTTTCTGTAAAGTTCAATACATTGTCTCAGAGGGTATTAAAAAACTAGGTAACCCTTAAATTTTTAATAATATCGATTAAAAACTAACGGAGTTATTTACTATTTTGTGCAGTAATAATTTCGCGGCTCGAATGTGCAAAAATACGAAAATTGATTTGAGCGACCTCTAAATATTCATCGAATTTGGATTTTTTGGTATCAATATTTTAGTTTTAATGTAATCTTTATAATTTAGGCCAGTGCGGGTTCATTTTTAAAAAAAGGCTTTTTTTGAATCACCCTAAGTATCACCCCTTTGAATTCTCTTATCTAATTTAGTACCTGGTCCGCAAAATTGATAAGAAGGCACGTGAAGCTCAAAGGGTAGGTTGTTAATTGCAGAATTTAATAAACCGCCACCTTTAAAAGTCAACATTGAAATGATTTTTTTTTAATAAAGTTAACCTTTTATAATTATTAATAAAAGTATGTTGAAAGGGATGTTAATATATTTTTTAATTGATTTAAAATTGTTTCATTCGGACAATTTATTCCAAAAAACTCCAATCAAAAACTCCTGCTCTTATTAATTTACCAGAAAATTCGTTATATTCATAAAATAAATTTTTTTTTTTTAAATAAATGTTACCATTTGTATAGCGAAATGCTGAAGATATATCTGGAGGGATTCCTGGGAAAAACTGTTTTATACTCCCCCGATTGACTGCATTTAAACTACATTCATCAATTTCAGTAACCCAATAATCATCATGAATAATATAAGTTCTACCTCTGTTTGAGTTAAAAATGGCATTTATGTTGCTACTTCGAGCAATATTAAATTTGTCTATTGTTTGATTAAATGTTTCACATGCAAGACTAGGAAAAGAAAACGTACTAACACGTTTTAAATTATCTATTATTACCACACTACCACTGGGTGTTTGGTATATATGTAAAAAATCATTATATTTAATATAATCACTAATTTTTTTAGGCTTTAGGATTTATGCCTGAGGGCTCTCCTATATTTAAAATCCACGCTAACCCATTGTTAAAAACATACAGATGATTATTATTTGTGACTAACATTTGTTGTGGATACTCGATTTGACATAAATCAGTTAAATTTGGTGATGTGTGTGTAGGTTTTTGTGTAGAACCCGTTATTTTAGGTCTGCTTGTTGTTAAAATTGTTTTTGTTGTTCTTGGTTTATCTGTAAGTTTCCTTGTAGTTGGGATTGTTTTTGTTGTTGTTAATATTTTTGGAGTAGTTTTTGGGGTTGTTGATGTTACTATTTTTGGAGTAGTTTTTGGGGTTGTTGATGTTACTATTTTTGGAGTAGTTGGGGGTAATCCATATAAATTTTGTATATTTTTTTTATCTTCATCGGATAGGGTTGTTATATTTGGTGAAAAATATGCGTACATTAGTGCATTATTATCTGGTGAATGACTCAACCCCAAAGAATGTCCAATTTCATGAAGCAATGCTGTATATAGACTTGTTTTATCATTATCTTCAGGTACATCGAAACCAAAATACCAATTTTCATCTGAATCTAAATGAATTTCCGTACAGGAATTAATATGACTTGGGTGGTATGCGTGACCAACTACAGCACCCTTTCCATCAAATGGTGCAATACAATAACCCTTCATGCATCGAACTGAATTACTATGGTTATTTTTCCCAAATGAAATTAGAATGTCAGGATTTCTAAACGAAAAAATAAACTTTAGATTTACAAATTTTTCCCACTCATTGAAAGCTCTAGTAGCAACTCTTTTTATCTCTCTATTATATGCATACCAATATATATTATGTTTATTCCATTTAGGTGGGTTTTGCGTCAATTCATAAATATTTTCATCTGGTATAGAGCAACGACGTGTTTTTATAAATTCTAAAAGGTCTTTCGTTATTTCACCACTTATGTTTAAATTATATCTCTCCTGAAATAATATTAAAGCTTCTTCATAATTAGTCAGCGAAAACTCTGAACTATTAAGGTAGCCAAATGTTTCGAGATGTTTTATTACAACATCTTTATCAGTTAAATTAATTGATTTTACCAAAATTATACTTGGCAGAAATATTAATAACAATTTAAAGCCCATTATTAACATAATCAACATAAAGCAATATTAAGACTGATCACCGAAAAAGATTTCTGGACAATAAATAGACTTGTCGGGACAAGTTGGGGTGACGTCAGCCAAAATGGTACCAAAAATAAAAATTTACAACAAAATAATAAATCCTTATCTCCAAATAACTGATTACCGCATTAAAACCCCCGAAACTTGTCGAACAACAAGTCGGATGACGTCAGCAATTCAAAATGGCGTCAAAAATGAAATTTACAACAAAATAATAATAAATCCTTATCTCCCCCGGATATCAAACCACTGTTAAGTCACGCAGCAAATGCATATCGCTTATCTTTTGCATCTCCAGTAATACCAAACTAATACGCTAACCACAAACAACCAATATGCATATCGCTTATCTTTTGCATCTCCAGTAATGCCAACTAAACACCTAAGCCCCGCCCACTTTAAACCACAACACCAATAGCTAATATCTATCAAACATGGCCGCCATCCGCCAGCCGCCATCCGCCAACAACCCACCAATAGGCTCACTTACGCTTATCAGTTGAGGGCGTTGCCCAAATGCCTGCCCACCAATAGCTAATATGATCACCCCCCACCACCCACCAGGGGGGCGCCACCATCGAGAACCGCCTACTGCTGACGTCACGTAGCGTCTGGGTCACTTCCGCTCCAGAACATACATAGTGTCTCTACTACTGGGCAACTTGAAGTAAGAAATTGTCTAGGCAAGTTTTTTTGTTATATTTTTGTTGTATTTAATAAATGTTATTCGAGGAATAAATATCGGTCTATTTATTAGAATACGGCAGATGAACCAAAAATATTCCTATTACTTTGGAAAACATTGAGCATTTTCTGAAAAATCTATACAGGGGACTGTTTATAAAATCCGGAGACAAAGTTTAGATGACTTTTTTAGAATTACAAAATAATAATTATAAAAAATAAATAAGTCACTGTAACAAGCAAACAATATTGGTTGAATAATTAAACAATTAGGTTGATTCCAATAGTTACTGTCTTTAATTAATTTAGTCTGAAGTGACCATTTTGCTTTGGTGACACGTCAGGGGACTGGTTTTTAAGGACTATAAAAACGATTTTGATACATTAAAGTTTATTTTATTGGATTTTGAACGTCGAGCATAGGTAGATTAGGTTATTATCTTTTGAAGTTATCTACGAAATATTTATGATCTGTTATTTTTCTAAACAATATTAGCTTGAGACAATGAGTTGCCCAGTTTACAGAGAAACGCCCATATATTATTTAATGAGGCAATAAATTACCTTTTACCTAGCAGGTGGGCCATAAATTTGATACCGTAAAAGCTTTTTGACAATAATGGGTAATAAATTACTTCATCTGACAGGTGGGATAATAATTAAGATACGCTAATAGCTTTTTTGACATTAATGACCCATAAATAACTTTTAATTACCTTCATATCGCTCTCTGTGTTAAAAGAGCTATGTCCATACCGTCCCCACTTCTACTTTAAATAAAAAGATAGAAACAAATGTTATAAAGAACTCATCTGATAAGTCGTATTTTCGCCGAGAAAATGGCGTCTTACGACATTTGTTTTTTATATACTATTTTAAAATGTCTTTTCCTTTATTTTAAATCTTTGAAAAGAGTAAAAAGCTATCTCCATCTAGCAATATACGAACGTATTTACGTTGCCCTGAGAAATCTTGTGCAAGTTAGCCGGTTTTAAATTTAAACCCCCCCCAATTACAATAATAAAAAATGAATTATTTTAAATTTGATACCGTAAAAGCTTTTTGACAATAATGGGTTATAAATTACCTCTTATCTGATAGGTGGGATAATAATTTAGATACGCTAATAGCTTTTTTGACATTAATGACCCATAAATAACTTTTAATTACCTTGATATCGCTCTCTCTCTTAAAAGAGCTATGTCCATACCGTCCCCAATTCTACTTTAAATAAAAAAGATAGAAACAAATGTTATAAAGAACTCATCTTATAAGTCGTATTTTCGCCGAGACATTTGTTTTTTTATATACTATTTTAAAATGTCTTTTCCTTCATTTTAAATCTTTCAAAAGAGTAAAAAGCTATCTCCATCTAACAATATACGAACGTATTTACGTTGCCCTGAGAAATCTTGTGCAAGTTAGACGGTTTTAAATTTAAACCCCCCAATTACAATAATAAAAAATGAATTATTTTAAGATAATGACGATCAGCAAACAAAAATAATAAACCAACTTCGCACAACTATATCAGGATTAAGAAAATTTACCAATTATAGTATGACTGTGTTAGCTTTTACTTCTAGTGGAGATGGAGTCAGATCAATGCCAGTTTATTGTCAAACCGAGGAAGACGGTAATATTTTTATTTAAGTTTAAAATACCCGCTTATTTAATAATTTTGTGACTTTTAGTTCCTTCTGCCCCAGCCGAAATTAAGGCCGTTATAAGCTCTCTTAATAAAATATTAATTTCGTGGTTACCTCCAAAGTTTAGCAATGGTCCACTCATGGGTTACACATTTTATATGAGTATGGTAGAAGATGGGAGAGAAGAAGGAACGCATAAGAGAATATTAAGCCCAACAACAAACATGCATGAAATTGTTAGAGCACAAGAAACAGCAACACTTCAATTTTGGGTTACTGCTTCTACTAAGGCAAGTTTGTTAATTTGTTAACTATTAGGAAAAGTAATGTTTTAATTTTTAGATCGGTGAAGGTGAAAGTACTAAAGTAATAACGGTCACTCCTTCAAAAAATGTACCAGCCAAAATTGCATCATTTGGAAGAGACGTTGTAAGTGCTTGGAAACAAGATATATATTTAGATTGTCGAAGAGTTGGAGAACCACTTCCGAATGCCATTTGGAAATTGAATGAATTACCGATGGAAGTTGGTGGACGGCGCTCGATATTATCCAATGCTACTTTGTTCATAAAAGACGCACAAAGTGGGGATCAAGCCAACTATTCATGTAGTGTTGAAAACCAGTTTGGAAGAGATGAAATCATTTATAATTTAATAGTAATTGTTCCTCCAGAGGCACCACAATTAAGCGTTGTTGAATCTTATACCGACAGTCTGCATTTAAAATGGTCTGATCAAGGAAATGGTGGATCTCCAATATTAGGATACGTGATAAATTATAAAAGAGATCATGGGGATTGGGAAGAGCTACAAATTTCTGCAAGAACTGATGAGCATATGTTAAGAAATTTATGGTGTGGAAGTAGATATTTATTGTATATTACCGCATTTAACAGAATAGGGACAGGTCTCCCTTGTGATATTGTTTCAGCTAATACAAAAGGCACAGGTATATAAAATATTATAGTATAGTTTTATTTAAAAATAAGAATAATTATTTTATTTATTTATTCCATATTTTTTTAATAATGAAATATTTATATATTTAAAAATTATAAAATACATTGTTTCTACCTGGTAGAAGGTAAGACAATTAAGAGAGATTCAGCTCAAAGTTAAACTGTGTTTTATTTAGGTTACATTTTTAAAAAACTGCGATCTTTTTTCTTTGCCCACTTTTTTGCTACAAATTCTATTAACTGCACAAAATTGTACTAAATTTTTTAATAAAATTAGAAACAGTACAGTGTTCAACACTTGATAAATGGTTATTTCCATTCGAATAAATAACTTTCGGTTCGTGTAGCAATATTTCAAACTCATGGAAATTGCTTAATTTCTATATCGGTAAACAAAATACTATCAGGCTAGTATAGGAAAATGCACAGAAAAAAAAATATGGCTCGTAAGGTTTATAATAGTTTAATGTATTAATGTATTATATCATCAAATAAAGGTATCCTACTTTTCAACTTTAAAACAAATTATGTAAAGAATATTGCTGCATTTCTTTGTTTATTTTGCAGTACAATAGATACAATTTTGTATTAAACAGTAGTGTAAATTCGAGATATTTTCAATAAAATTCTTAGATAAAGCGGTTGAATTTCGAAGTCCCAAAAATTAAAGCGTTTAAGTCACATTTAATATGGAATCGCTTTTAAACGCCCAGGAGAGCATGAAGTCGCAGAGGTAAGTCGCGTGGATGCACATCGGAGATAGGTTTTAATCCCGTATGGCCCTGTCGGTAGGATACCTGGCTCTAAAGGCACGTTCTCTCACAAAATTCGCTGGTTGCTGGTAGTTCCTACCGAGTAGCTGCTACTTAGTCGCTAAGACTTAAACAATGCAATTCATTGAGCTGTTGCAAATGACTTATTGCGAACCGTTGGAAGTAGCAGCTACCCGGTAGCGACTACCAGCGACCAGCAAATATGTAGAAGAACGTACCATTAAGCGGATATTTTTAACGCCTGTAAAAATACACAGGAAAGCGGACATTATAGTACACCTCGCGTGACACCTAAATATATATATTCATATATACAGTGTGTTTACAGAAGAACTTAAGTATACTTGTAAAAATATTTATAATTACATATAATAATTATAATTTTTCGAAAAAAAGTTACTTCTCATAATTTCTTTTGCTTGTTATATAAATACCATTTACGATGATAAACTTCTATTTTATTATACAGGGTGCAAAAAAAAATACAATTGTAGATTTTGCAGAATTAAAAATTGTTAAATATTTGTTAAACAGGTCTAATATGAAGAGCTTGTAAGAAGAAACCAAAAAGCTAAATAAAGTTTTTTTATGTGAGTTGTTTTTACTAAGATATTTGGAATAAAATCAATTCAGGTCCTAACTTGAGTGGTCCTATTATTTTGTAGAAATTGACTGCTATCTCATTTTGTGATTATGAATTAAGGTTGTGGCTTTCAACTGACATATCTACAATGTCAACAAAATTTAAAAACTAATATCTTAAATTTTCAATATCAAATATCTTAGTATCAAAAACTCAAATGAAAAAACTTCATTTGACTTTTTGATTTCTCCTTACCAGCTCTTTATATTAGCGCTTAAAAAATTAATTATGAAAATTTGTAATTTTTCTCACCCTGTACAACATGGGTGATTCCATAAAATTTGGGTAACTTTTGGAAGTTATTTGTCCTAACTATGTTTTAGATGCTGTTTAAATCTCTAATAGTGTATATAATATGTAATTAATTTATTATATCATACTCAAAAGGGCCAGTCACTTTATGTAGTATTTTGTGAAAAAATTAAAATATTGTGAATTTAAATATCTGGGGACTGACAGGTATGACTAGGGACTGAAAAAATATTGCTATAGTAGCAAAATAAGAAATAAACATGTTGTTTCACTTTTATTTGTAGCACATCTTCAAATGATTACAAATTACTTATTTATTATCAAAAATATAGTGTAATATATAGCAGATCTATATATAAAATCAGTCATTTATGGTTATAAGTAATTTTATCAAATCCTTAGCCTTAGGTTCCTACAGCTATGCTTAGTCCTACAATTTCTTTAATATTTATATATAATAATATTAAATATATTTAAGAGGTAGAAAACATAGAAAATAACATTTGTAAGAGACTCGTTGCCCATAGATTAATTAAAACAAAATCAAAATTAAGAATTCTTAACATAGTAATACATTATTTAGGTAAAAAATTAAAGGGACGGTGCACGGACATGGCTAGGGACTGACATTTGGGGTCCTGAGAAAATATTTTAGAAGTAAAATTAATTACTATTTCCGACATACTGAGCGTAGTAAAAAAATATATTTTTCTTACTACCTCGACTCAAAATACGTTGTTTCGTCCCCGATTTCACGGCAGAAAGTTTACGTTTCTTGCATTGGTCAAGCTATACGCGCACACTCTAATAGCGGGAGTAAAAATTTTTTAGTCGTATGCTTAACATTCAAATTTCGTACTGCCAACATGAGAAACACAAAAATATGACAGTTTTAAACCATAATTTTGCAATTATAACAACAAATAAACAATTTATGTTTTTACTTTTTTACTTTTTATGTTGTTTTAAGTGTTTAATGGTACTTTTATTTGTTATAAAGTAGTAATTTGTTAATTAAAATACAACCTTTTATTTTTACTGTATTGGCACCGCTGAATTACCATGACAACGCTACAGTTTGATTGATTTTGAATGTAAACGTCAGAATTAAATTAAACGTCAGATTTTAATTTTGACACAAGTTTTTTTATATACATTTAATTTTTTCCCGTATTTTCTGCGGGGTAGCAAGAAAAATAGTATACACTACACGGGCAGAAAGTGTGAGAGCCCTGAACTGCGCGCCATGATGCCCTCGGCTTCGCCTCGGGCATCATGGCGCGCAGTGCAGGAATCTCACACTTTCTGCCCTTGTAGTGTAATATACTATTGATCTATTACCTAGCAATCTTAAAATAAGGTAAATTCAATTAGATTAAGGGAAAAGTGCTGCGGACATAGAGTTACCCAGATTTCATGGAATCACCCACATGTTTCTCAACGCGAATTGTTTAGTTTTCTAGTGGACTGGATGGAGTTAATATTAATAATGTTTTATTTTATAATCACATACTACCTACATACTGCACATGAAACAATTACTTTTAAGAAAAAGATTTTTAAGTTTCGTATACGAATTATATTTGTGATTTTAGCTGGCCAGGGTTCATCCATTAAAGTTTAATGATTAAACGGTCCTTAACTTTTTAAGGGTTTATCTGAAAGTCTATGATATGATACCATGTTCAATTGATTTATAGGAAATGATTTATAGAAAACTATTAGAATAAAAATTGTGTGTGCCCCACCTTTATAAGCACACTCTTGATTTAATAGTATTGAAATCAAACTTCCAAAGGAGTTGATAGGAAACTAGTTTTAGAGTAATGATAAGAGTTGTGTTGTCATTATTTCATTAATTTACATATTTTATTATTTTCTGTTACAAATTTATAAAAACCATTCCTGGTTAGTTACCTACTGACGAGTTACTGACAGGTATTTATTTTTAATTTTTTTGTGAATTTTGAAAGTTTTGGTTACTGAATATTTACTTACTTTAAAATTTCGGTAATTTTGAAAATTCCGGTATTTTTAAAAATTTCGGAAATTTTACCTTTGTTTTCTTCTACTTAAACCCTTTTATTTATTACCTATGTTAAGTAGGCTATAAAGAAAAAGCCAATCCATCGGCGACCGCCATATTATATAATTGCGTAGTATTTTGGATTGATTTATTTATTTTATTTTGAATATTACTTTTTGTTTACTATAACATATATCCCGTATCATGGCTCTCACGGTAAGAGTTTCACTTAATAGGTACGTTATTAAGTTAATTTGATAATGACATTTTTTGAGATAGAAAAAATTAAAAAATGTATTCCGTTAGCGAGAATCGAACCCTCGTGGGTGAGAGCCAGGTACTCAAAAAATAAATAATAAAAACATTTATTCATAACATTATATGTAGGTACATGAAACAACAAATATATATTACAAATAATGATATAACACGGTTCGCCAGAAGGAAGTTTAATTGAAAAGGTGTTGTCGCCTCAAAATTCATTTTAATTATGATTCCTAGATAAATTAGACATATTTTGACGTACTTTTTAAAATCAGTATACGTGGCCGATATTTAGAAAATTAGGTTTGAATGAAAAAATATAATTTCATTGGGCATCAGCATTTATTGAATACAAAAATAAAATAAAAAATAAGAACATAAGTGTCTATTTTAATTAATGTTATTAAACAAATTTTACAATTTTGCTTAAATAATTTTAAAAGTAGGACATGAACAGAACCAAAAAATATATTTTTAACCTATATAAATATACAAGACATGTTTATTAATTTAAACAAGTAAACAACATTGTATTTAAGGGTATCAGCATGTATTTCATTCATAAATATAATAACAACCGACAGTATAATAGCATAGCATAATATATTATCTATACAAAATGTAGAAAACTTTGACAACAAGATATAATCCTAGGACAAGCTTGTCCCACCGGCCGGCCGCCGCCTTAATATCGCTTTTCCACCACTTCAATATGTTTCTGACATTTTACCAATAAAAATTTCTTAAAAATCTTCACATTTACAAAATTTTATGAATGTGTAGTCGTTTAAAACACTTTTAAACGATACAATAATCATAAACTTTGAATATTTTATATATGTCAAAATGTTGACATTTCAGCAAAACAAATGACTATTTTATACTTATAATGACAATATTCTGTCACCATAGATATTAAAAAATAATTTTTTTTATTACATATTACTATTAATAATATATTATCTTGTTATAAAGATTATTTAGATTTTGTAAGTACATTTATTTGTATACAATTTGCGGAATTTTAAACTA